AGCTCCATGCAATAGCGAAGGATAGAACGACTTGGCGTGAGTTGGTTGAGGGCCTATGCTCCATTGGGGGATAGAAAGGCAGAAAAAGAAGAGTTGAGACAGACATAGACCAGTCACCGCTGTTTAATGACGTCATGTCAATTATGTACCTGGAACTCTCCAAACAATGGCTTCATGACGTCATTCAGACATATTGGCATATGGTTATTATTTGTTCCCTGAATGGCCGATATAAACTGATAGGACATGTTGTTTATTCCTAATGGTTGATGAAGTCATAGTTTAGGTATGTCATACATTAGTTTATGCGTGGAAGGTTTCATTTCTTGATTTCAGGCAGTCTGTTCCTCATTACTCTATATTTTCGCCATGGCGATATACTTGCGGCAGCGAATTGACTTGCTGACAGGGCAGAGGAAGGATAATGGATGTTCTCGGTGCTCTCAAAGAGGCCGGACAAGTAGTAAACCGACACAGAAACTGGTTGAGGGAGATACGGAAGATGGGATCCGAGCTCTTGTTGACTTGCCCGATATGCAATGAGAATGATCGGTCGAATAACTAACTTGTTTTGTTCAATAAGACTGTAGCGTATATCTGTCCCTAATTTAAATTTCTAAAAGCTCAAACAGGTGGACAGAGCACTGCTGTTCTGACCCAGTAGCTTCTGCAGCTTGCTTTGCCCTAACGTAGCTGTGCTGCCTTTCCCAACGCATAAACAAGGCAGACCTAGTGAGGGATCAGGCCAAATATGTAGCAGGTTGTGTGTACAGTACTTTCCAGGTTTTGTGCCATGGAGAGGAGAAACTTGTCACCGTCATTAGCTCTAATTCCCCGGCATCCCCTAGCCCCGTATGTAACAGACGTCTAGATCTAGACAGACGGTGCCAGACATAAACAACGATCTCTTCACTTGCTTTAAGTAACTTTACAGTGCCTGTGGCTTTTAGGTTTCACACGTAACCGGTTCCATTTCAACTGCAGACGGTTTGACAACGGGCTGTTTTGTAATGATTTTGACAACCTATCGAGTGCCGTTCGTTGGCAGAGCAATGGCAATTTATTTAACCTAAAATTGCATAGTAAAATCAAACAGGAAAAAAAATCAACTTGTAGTTCCCATGAGTCTTTTTCATAGTCTCAAGCGCCTCCGCTCCCCAATTCAGTATGACAGTATGCCACCCATCTCTCTCTTGGTCAGTCTCTTGCCTTGTTGTCTGCTGTTCTCTTGTAGTAGGCTCTAGCTACTGGCTGATTTTGTTCCATTCTGACCAGATGACCAAACCATTTGATTCTTGGATGTTCACTTCAGTTTAACCATTAGTATTGGAACTCTGCGCTGGCTGCTGAAGATGTGAATGGGGCGCTCATGGGAATTCCCCAAGTGCTGTGATGTCAATTCTTGGCTCAACTCACTTTAATGTACAAGCACTGTGCATATTATCGCTCTCAGCCTTCATTGGTGCCTTATCTTCTTTTCTGATATTTCCGCCACATTTCCTAAACATCTCCTCTCACATGTTGTAAGCTCTGTGTTTATGGTTTTTCTACGACTCCGCATGCTTGGCATTGGGAGAAACAAAGGTGGTACAAACTGTGTTTCAATCAGCTGCTTTGTGTGTGTGCATGTGTGTGTGTGTGTGTGTGTGTGTGTGTGTGTGTGCAGGATGATATTCCGATGCTTCCAAACTGACGCTATTTAAGACCACTCTTTCTAAAAACTGCCACAGTTTAATATGTTCACAGTATTTCAACTGTTCATGATACATGATGACGAATATAAGCCAGTGTTTAGTCTAAACAAATATGTGCCTGTAGATATTCCTGTATGTAAAGGAAGTCAGCGGAATGCAGATTACATCGAGCGCCGACTGGTCTTTAAGAATATCGATTTAGCACCATAGGTCTCGGGCGCCATTGGCGTGAACGGGTTCCTTGACATTTCTGGGTTTTAGCAATGTTTCCACATTGAAAAATTGAACAAAGAAGACAAAAACAGATTGCACAATTGATGGCTTTGCCAAGGAATAAATAGTGCAATCTGTTGTTTGTGCCTTCATTGTTCAAATGTCTGTTTTACTTGACTGCTGGAAACTTATGCATAAATAGTGAACTATTGGTAATCTCGGCAGCGTCTACACCAGGGTATAGTGACCTAGGAGCCATCTTCACGTGACTTTCTGACCTGGATAACTGTCCCCCAGCCCCCTGGAGGAGGGCTTTCCTGTTGGACAGGTGAGTGCAGGCACTAGGTGGTTGCTGACGAGTGACTGATTGATATACTGACAAATGTCATTGAAGACTTACTGAGAAATTTCAAATATTTTAATTGTTGGAGGAGCACTAGAATGGGAAATAAAAGAAGTCAGGAAGTGAAAGCGTCCAAAGACAACCCTTAAACAAACGCGGATGAGAGAAGCCAGGTGTACTGGGTTGAATTCCATCCATAATGTCGACATGATTGGATAAACAGACTGCAAGCCTTATGTGGCATGTAACGGAACAACTGGATGATGATTATGGTAATGACGATGGTTGGTGGAATATAAAGAACGTTTGCTTAAATGATTGACGAGTTACTGGTGTAAATATTTGTTTTGTTGATTCTTTTTTTTTTTTTTTTTTTTTTTTTTGTTTACTCTCATGAGGGGGATCAGGGTTCGATCCCCCATACTGAATGCCTTCAGGCGTATTAGGCATATAAGACCAGGCCTAAATTTTATAGACCAATCGGCACTAGGTGGGTGACGTGGGCAACATCACGCCGGCCGCCTTTACTTCCTAGTAGTGTACCTAGTACCCATTTTCGACCTTTTACTTCAGCTCATGAAGTTGTCAACTTGAGTACACCATCACCCCATAACACTGCGTGTCTTTGGGTCTGTTGACTGTCTGATCAGCTCATGGTTGAATGCCTGAGACCTGTCCATTCAGTCAGGTTCTATAACCAGATCTTTCTTGGTCTGCCTCTTTTCCTCTTTCCCTCCACGAAGCCCTGCAGTATTTTGGAGAGAGGAAGCAGCCCCGCTGGACTGCTTCTGTTTTTCGCAACCAGCTACCTATTTCTCCGTTCAGCGAGTATAGTAACGCAAAAGCCCAGATATGTTTTAAAATTAATTGTGTGGTTAATTCATTGTTTGGCAGACAAACTGGTTGGTGGAATGATTAACTGGCTCATCAATTGTTTGTTTATGAACTGACTGATGGACTGGAGCTATCACAGCTGTAGCAAATCCATGGAAGTCAAGGGAAAGTTCATTTGAACAACGTTAAAACTGTGCTTCCGTGGAGATCAAACACGCGGATACGAAACAATTATTAATAATTGACAACATTTCATTAACTAGTGCTTGTTCACACCAAAAGTGCTAAAATGTCACGACTAAATCCTTATGATACAACACAAGGAGAGAGCCATATTTTTTTTTAAATCTCCACATGGTTAGAATTTCAGTCTGTAGAATTAACATCTCACAGATGAAAATCAAACAAGTTAACCCCTTGAGGCTGAAAATGAAACAGGTAAAAATCTCAGATACTGCTCCTTCAATCGAATGACACAGATGTACTGCGCCAGCATACGGTGGGAACCACTGCAGTGGGTGCATCCTAGAAGGAGAGAACCAAATACATTTCATAAAATCAAGATGTGAGTGAAACATGCAGGGATTTGGCATACATGGAGAAAATGCATTAGTAGTATAACCAGCAAACATATTTGTTAGAACCTATAGTGAACACTTAATGGATATGTGAAAGGACACGGAGAAGTGGATTAAAGACAGGTGGATCAAATTGAAAGGGCATTTGGAAGTCGGGGGGGGGGGGGGGGGGGGGGCGGTGTTGATGACAATGACAATAAACAAGGCAGCTGGGCCTGGTTTAGCTTCAAAATTATACTCTTTTTAAAGATAAATTATGAATACGCGGAGCATAGGTACATCACGATCACCCTTAAGGTAATAGTATCTCCTCTGTGTCAAGATTTAGGCGCAGCAGATGCAGCAAGAGAGGTAGTAGTATCAGATTTTTACCCCACTGGGACACCACACTAGCGATAAACACCCGATGACACAAAGTGCTACCAGGTGGATGAGGATCGCCGGTGGAGAGGTCCCAGAAACCGCGTTCAGCCATTAGACCATATTTATGGTCGGGCTATATTGCGGCAACTGGCAAGAGCCAGGATGGGGCTTCAAAATAGAGAGAAATTGCATCTAACAAGGAGATGTCAGGTTATCCCCCCCCCCTCACCCCCCCCCCCCCAAAGCAGCAACAGAGAATGCAAAAGAAGAATAAACAGTATGTTAGGTTAATTAGCGTAAAAGTTAGGAGATTTGTGATTCCCCCTAATGTATTATCTCCCCTGTGTGGAGACGTTGATGCTGTAGAAGAAGAAGCAGAAGAAGAAGAAGAAGAAGAAGAAGAAGAAGAAGAAGAAGAAGAAGAAGAAGAAGAAGAAGAAGAAGAAGAAGACGACGAAGAAGAAGAAGCAGAAAAGAAAAAGAACTAGTTGGTTAGCTTGAAAGTTGAGAGATTTGTAATGATGATCTGCCCTGTGTGCAGATGTTGCAGCACACGACCGCCTACTGCACCAGCCTTGTGGAGCATGTCTACGCCTTCCTCTGCCACTTCCTGCTCAGCTACAAGGGATACGTGGTTGTCAACATCTTGTCAGTATTTAATGTCATCGTTGTATCGTTAACGTCTTATGCCAGTTCTGTCTGGCCGGTATGTTGTGTCAAGTTTATCGTTTAAGTATATACGTCATCATTACCGCCCATATACTCATATATATTTGTATATATGCATGCGCGAGCGTGTGTGTGTTACCGTCTCTCTTCATATAATAATCGCTTATAAAATTCCGTAATTACCATTATGAATATTATGCGTGTGGTTCGAGTGTATGTGTGTACGGGTGTTTGTGTGTGCGCGTGTGTGTGTGGGGGAAGGGGGGAGGGAAAAGCGACTGAGGGGGAGGGGGTGGAAATAGATTCACAGTACCTTCCGCCCCAAATGTAGATCTTAACATTCGTCTAATTAGGAATGTTGTCTATCGGTGCTTCTGCCCGATAAGCAAAGCACAAATAGTCTGCATACAAATAAGGCAGATCTGTGAAACGGACGTACATGCAAAACCCCAAAAGAAGAAAACTATGAATATATTTACAATGAAAAAAAAAAGTAGCTAAAAGAATGAAAACATCTGTGTCATGAAGTTATTTAATGTCAGCAATAGAATATCAAGTATAGAATATACTAGAGGTGCTGATAGGGGCAATGGAACCACCCCGCTCCCTCCAACCCCAATCACCTTAATTTTCGGGGTGGGCTGCGCTTTCTCTCAACCTAGACAGTTTGCAAGAGGCTAAATCCCCCCCCCCCCAATTATCATTATTGCTCACGTATACAAGGCTGGGTCCCCTCGAGGGCCCATAATATCTGTGTTGGTATGTTAGTACACAAGTTCATCAGTACCTGTTTTCATCTGATTCCCGACTGTTACTTGGTGTCGAGAATCCGTGTCTTCTGCTTTCCCAGAATCCTTGGTCTGAACCTAATCGTGCTGAGGACCGTTAACTACTACATGTCCAAGAGGAACGCCAAGAACCCATACAGTCTGCGGATCACCTCAGCAAAGTTTCAACGGATAGGGCACACCAGGCCAGGACGTCTTCTGAGCGGTCAAGGAAGCGCTGTCAAAGTGCCCAATCGAGATGTAAGTTGTTGACAACATTTCTAGTGTCGTTTAGGGCCTCAATCTGCAGGGGCCTCATACATAGACGAATGTATATATTTTAAAATTTCCTGAGGTTAGCTGGGGATTTTTTTTAAACGGCAGGGCCTCAGGGCCTTATGTTCTTTCTCAGGGCTTAATCAAGTCTAAATCCGGTCCTGTTGGTGGGTTATTATGTGACATGCAGGGGAAGACCGGTGCACTTTTGGAAGTACCCATGTGCATTTGAGAACATCCCATTTCATTGGAGTGCAGTCAAACTGGGCTGCTAACAGTCGGGCGTCCTAATATAACTGCTATACGACTGAAATGGGTTTCTGTGATTTTCTCGTGGATTCTCTCTCGGAAGTTGGCGCTTTGAACCACTAACTGCTAATCTTCCAGATTTCAAACCTGCAAGGACAACTGTCTGTCTGTCTGTCTGTCTGTCTGTCTGTCTGTCTGTCTGTCCGTCCGTCCGTCCGTCCGTCCGTCCGTCCGTCCGTCCGTCCGTCCGTCCGTCCGTCCGTCCGTCCGTCCGCCCGCCCGCCCGCCCGCCCGCCCGCCCGCCCGCCCGCCCGCCCGCCCGCCCGTCCGTCCGTCCGTCCGTCCGTCCGTCCGTCCGTCCGTCCGTCTGTCTGTCTGTCTGTCTGTCTGTCTGTCTGTCTGTCTGTCTGTCTGTCTGTCTGTCTGTCTGTCTGTCTGTCTGTCTGTCTGTCTGTCTGTCTGTCTGTCTGTCTGTCTGTCTGTCTGTCTGTCTGTCTGTCTGTCTGTCTGCCTGTATGTCTGTCTGTCTGTCTCTGCCCCCTCCCCTCCTCCGTGTTTCCATAAACATTTCCAGACACCCCTTCTTCGTATCTCTTTCGCGCTCCGGAGGTTATCGTCCAGCTTAAGAATGGAGGTGGAGGTGGTCACTGCAGCTTTCCGTTGACCAAAGGACACGATACACAAACACAAACACATCATCATCATCATGATTGTAACTTACTGGGAAAGTATGATGAGGAAGGTGAGGACAGGCATGCTTTTTGCATAGTGGCATGTTTCACTTCGGAGGTCAAGGGTTAAGAGCACTTTCTGGATCTTTTCTCTGAGAGATGCCGATGTGCTTGGAAATGAACGAGCCGACAGACTGGCTGGCGCTGGACAACTTGGTGGGATACTGACGAATGATAAGGCAGACGCGATCTAGGCCTTTTGAGGGCACGTTTACAATTCGGAGGAGCATATGGGTCATAAATATCTAGTGAGAGTGATGCAGCGGAGAGTGACGAGAGGATCTGCCCGATGCTCGAGGCTCAGAGGAAAGGCAAGACGGACATATAATCAGAATGCTACTGGCACCATTGATATTGAAACTCTACGCTGGCTGCTGAAGATTGGGACGAAGCGCTTGCTTAAATGCCCTCAGGGCTGTAATATCAGTTTTGGAATCAGCTCAACTCAACTCTGAAAGTCGTGAGTTCGTTTTCTGGCTTTATGCGACGTTATCAACAGGCGGTGAATCTTTCTTACCTGTCAGGTGAGCACATAGAACTAGCACATACACAAACACATTCACACACATACACAAACACACTCACACACATACATTATCACATATGGTTTTGCTTCCATTCCCGCCCAGGTTCCCAGGCGGCAGACACTGAATGCAAGCAGCAGACGTAATGATGTTGTTCCACGTTCAGTGTTTAATCTGACATTTATATATTGTGTTTAACCTGACATGTATATACTGTGTTTAACATGACATTTATATATTGTGCTTAACCTGACATTTATATATTTTGTTTAACCTGACATTTATATATTGTGTTTAACCTGACATTTATATATTATGATTAACATGACATTTATATATTGTGTTTAACATGTAAAATGTAGAGTTTAAGGACCCTTTTCTACGCCGTCAGGCGTATCGAGCAAATACTGCTAGACTTATTTGTATAGATCAATGGGCACTCGGTGGGTGACATGATCAATATCACGCCGGCCGGCTTTACTTCCCAGGATTATAATAGTACACACTCAAGGCTTGGTCGACCTGGGAGCCAAGGCAGGTGAGTTTTGACAAAAGTCCGATTCCGATCCCAAGGCCAGCGTCTAGCCGCCACACCACGTTGGCTCCCCGTTTAACCTGACACCTATACGCCATGTTTAACACAAAATTTATACACCGTGTTTAACATAAAATTTATACACCGTGTTAACATAACATTTATACACAGTGTTTAACATAAAATGTATACACCGTGTTTAACATAAAATTTATACACCATGTTTAACATTTATACATCATGTTTAACATAACATTTATACACCGTGTTCAACATAACATTTATACACCATGTTTAACCTAACATTTATACACCATGTTTAACATAAAATGTATACGCCGTGTTTAACATTATACACCATGTTTAACATAACAATTATACATCGTGTTTAACATAACATTTATACGGGACTGAGCCTCGAGAGGCAGGGGGTAAGAAGTGTTGGTGTTGTGGGTAGTGGGTTCCCCCCCTTACTTCACCCTAGGTCTAGTGAATATCTGTTCACGAAAGGAGCGTCCATTGTGGTGTCAGCCTCTTGACCTAGCAAAACCTCTCTTACCTCAAGACCATTGTGCGTGGCGAAGAGTCACAGCCTCCCCGAGGTAGTCCCGGTAAGGAATTCAGAATGTTGCAAAAAACCTACCACCACATGCTCGCTTTAAAGCTCCAGAAGTCCAAACTAAATTGGTAGGCGAGGAAACCAAACAGTCCGACCCAATCGCTCTTATGAACTCATCACTAAAGACCGTTGATTCTTACCCCCAAGAATGGATACATGTCTATACTGATGGATCAGCATTTAAAGCTACCATTAAAGCAGGTTACGGAATCTACATAGGTTATCCCGATGGATCTGTTGAAGAGATTTTTGATGCATGCGGGGAATTCTGTTCAAAACTATGAAGCTGAAATAATTGCACTGGAAACAGCAGTATACCACCTAAAGACTGTAATGGATGTTTACCCCTCAAAGGTCCAAAATATTGTCATCTTCACAGATTCAATGTCTGCCCTTCAAGCTCTGGAGGGCAATGAACGCTGCAGAACTGACATAGCCAAGATAATCCTGGATGCCGATCAGCTTATTACCTCATACAACATCAGAATAGTGATGCAGTGGATTCCAGGTCACTCCGGCACACCAGGTAATGACAGAGCTGACAGATTGGCAAAGAAAGGAGCAACACAAGAACAACCACCTACAGCGACAACCCTCCAGACAGCAAAAACACTGATAAGAGCTATAAACAAAGAGACTTGGTTGAACAGATGGGCCATGGGAGACACTGGAAGAGAGGTTTATAGACATATGTCTGGCCCTGATCCTAATGACAGCATTACCCATCTAACAAGAAGGGACCAGACCACCATCTTCAGACTTAGAACGCAACATACTCCACTCAATGGACACCTAAACAGAATACAGTCACAACACTCCCCAGAGTGCCAGCTATGTAACTACCCCTACGAAACTGTTGAACACCATCTCTTTGAGTGCCCAAAACTCAGTGAGACAAGAAGAACGCTACTCCCTCCGAGACCAGACAAGTGGAACACCTTGTACGGAGGAAAAGAACAGCTTGTGAAAACATGCAAATTCCACTACATGGCATTGGGCCAAAGGGCGAAAGCTCATGCGCCGCTGGATCGATAACAACAACATAACATTTATACACCATGTTTAACATAACGTTTATACACCATGTTTAACATAACATTTATACACCGTTTTTAACATAACATTTATACACCGTGTTTAAATATAAAATTTATACATAGTGTTTATCATTAAATTTGTACACTGTATATTAAGCACAAAATTTATATACTGTGTTTAACATTAAATTTAGACACTGAGTTCAAAATTAAATTTATTTCCCTGTGTTTAACATTATATTTATACAACACTGTGTTTAACAATTAAATTTATACACTGTGTTTAGCATTAAATATATACACTGTGTTTAACATTGCATTCATACACTGTGTAGACCATTAAATGTATACACTGTGTTTAACATTAAATGTATACATCGTGTTTAACATAAAATTTATACATTGTGTTAACATTAAATATATACACTGTGTTTAACATTGCATGTATACACTGTGTTTAACATTAAATGTATATACTGTGTTTAACATTAAATTTATACACTGTGGTTAACATTAAGTTTATACACAGTATGTTTAGCACACAATTTATACACTGTGTTTAACATTACATTTATACACGGTGTTTAACATACAATTTATACATAGTGTTTGATGTTTAAATGGCCCCAGAAGAGGACAGTCCCAGTGCCCACCTAGCAGTCTTGCCTACCAGCCGGACAGCCCCAGTGCCCACCTAGCAGTCTTGCATACCAGCCGGACAGCCCCAGTGCCCACCTAGCAGTCTTGCCTACCAGCCGGACAGTCCCAGTGCCCACCTAGCAGTCTTGTCTACCAGCCGGACAGTCCCAGTGCACACCTAGCAGTCTTGCCTACCAGCCGGACAGTCCCAGTGCCCACCTAGCAGTCTTGCCTACCAGCCGGACAGCCCCAGTGCCCACCTAGCAGTCTTGCCTACCAGCCGGACAGTCCCAGTGCCCACCTAGCAGTCTTGCCTACCAGCCGGACAGCCCCAGTGCCCACCTAGCAGTCTTGTCTACCAGCCGGACAGCCCCGGTGCCCACCTAGCAGTCTTGCCTACCAGCCTGACAGTCCCAGTGCCCACCTAGCAGTCTTGCCTACCAGCCGGACAGTCCCAGTGCCCACCTAGCAGTCTTGCCTACCAGCCTGACAGTCCCAGTGCCCACCTAGCAGTCTTGCCTACCAGCCGGACAGTCCCAGTGCCCACCTAGCAGTCTTGCCTACCAGCCGGACAGTCCCGGTGCCCACCTAGCAGTCTGGCCTACCAACCGGACAGTCCCAGTGCCCACCTAGCAGTCTTGCCTACCAGCCTGACAGTCCCAGTGCCCACCTAGCAGTCTTGCCTACCAGCCGGACAGTCCCAGTGCCCACCTAGCAGTCTTGCCTACCAGCCTGACAGTCCCAGTGCCCACCTAGCAGTCTTGCCTACCAGCCTGACAGTTCCAGTGCCCACCTAGCAGTCTTGTCTACCAGCCGGACAGTCCCAGTGCACACCTAGCAGTCTTGCCTACCAGCCGGACAGTCCCAGTGCACACCTAGCAGTCTTGCCTACCAACCGGACAGTCTTTGGGTTCAACCCTGCCCAGGACAGTAAAAGATTCATGTGGGCTCCCAGATCGACCCAAGTTAGTTTGATATCAAGACATTTTCTTGGAGGTAAAGGCGAACGGTTTGATATTGACTGAATCACACATCGGGTGCCGAACAGTTTATATAAATATGGGCCCTTCACTAGGGACAATGCTTAGTCGCTTCATACATTTTCTAGTGGGGGCATCGAGGTACATTAGTCTTGTTTAAGTGCTTAATAGTATTGATAAAATAATGGTGTGATGAATGGTAAGTAAATACAATGATATATTTGAAAAATAAATTATGTTCAAACAGACATATTACAAATAGAAGTTTACACAAGAACACACAAGGGAGCTGAATGGTCGTAGACCACGAGGCAGCCCAAAAATACGATGTAGAGTTTATGTCCAGGCAGAACCGCAAACACTTGGTGTCACCAACGGAAAAGAGAAGGCCAACCAGAGAGATGAATAGAGGCTGGTGGTATCTGCAGCAATGAACCTCAAGGGCTCAGAATGTTTAGGAATAAAAAATATAATATGATTTTTTTTTTGGGGGGGGGGGGGGGCAGATAAAGCTTCTACACACGAGAAAAGGGGGAGGGGCCAGATAGACAGTTTACACACATGATAATGAGGGGGTGGAAGGGGGGGGGGAGGCGCTGAGCAAGAAAGAGTAACAAGAATTATGTGTGTGGCCGTCATGGGCGGGGTGAGCTCTATGAAATAGCCAAAATGTGGAACAGACGGCGTGGTCTGAGTTTGTTAGAGATGAAAGCTCCGCCACGGATGATGCACACTAACTGAAGAAAGAAACTTATTCATACACATCTACGTACTTCTCAATGGCCAACTATTGGGGGGAAAAAATGTGCATAGAAAATCAGCAAAAACTGTGTCCTATTAAGGAAACGAAACAATACGTTTTTTAACTACAGACTTTTGGCAGTGCAAGTCGTTTGGAGCTAGATATTATGTTTGCACACATACTTATGTCTCGTGCACTTCAAATGATTTCTTAAGTAGGGAAAGGGAGAAGGAGAACAAGAAAAATCGATGCAAATTGTTTCAGGCCTAGTTACACAACGTCAGGCAGTCTGCTGCCAGATCACCCGCAGCTGGCATCCAGCCCGCACCTCTGAATTAAGAACTGCCTAAGCCACATCCGCCGATACCAACTAGTATATCTATCCCAAATCTCAACCTACTGAGCACTTTTGTTGTTGTTTCGTAACCAGATCACAGATCCCCTGTAGTGACCTCACAGACCCCCAGGAAGGCGAGAAAGGCAACTCCAGCGTGCCAGAAGTTTCTGACTCCTCCGACGCCCCTACCGTCTCCATACAATGGCAAGAAGCAGACAGCCGGTGACAAATGCGACGAGACCCTGGACGAGATCACCTGGGCGTGCGATGAGTCTCGTTCTTCCCTGGCCAACATGACTAAGGCGGCTAAATACTGCGACTCTCAGGTGCAGACACCCTCTGCTAAAGATGTCCGAGTGACTAAAAGCTCCCACGTTTGCAGACGAATGGGGAAGAGCACGGATGTTCGAGAAGAAGCGAGGCAGGAAGACGAAGGCAACATTTTATCTCCACAGGAGAACCAGCAGAAAAGTGAAAGAGTAAAACAGGGTGGTAAAAAAAGACAGAAGGACGAGGATAGGCAGAACAAAACGAAGAGCGTTGCCATGAAGAAGAAAACAGGGAAATTGAAACAGAGGCACAAAAAGGTTTCAAGAGGTGTGAACACACTGCAACAAACTCCAAGTGGGCAACAGCATGATTTTGACGGGGACGAACTGGGTAAGATGGTGTCCACAGATTTGAGAGCTGAGGTCAACCGAGAAATGTCTGCACCTTGTGTTGAGAGGAAAGTGCTCTTGAACGAAGCCAGGGCCAAACGGATGAGGATGAAGCAGCTGACATCTCCGAGGATAATGGAGGTAAGTGAATCATTGTATGTGGACTAGATTTTCTCCCTGGCAACAGTTAAAGTCAAGAAGATCTACTTCATGTCATAGGGTTTTGGCTCGGTCTCTCTCCGTAGAAGTACCAACCTCCTGGCAAGAATGTAGCACAAAGCACGATCTCTGTACTCCCAGAGATCTGCGTATAAACTGCACTCGTTAATCGAAAGACACAGCCGCGTCTTCTCGGAGCACAGCGTTAAACAGTCTCCCAGCTATGTTTCCAGTTTCAATGTTACTGATGTATGGTTCTATGTTATTGATGTATGGTTCTATGTTACAGATGTATGGCTCTGTGTTACAGATGTATTGCTCTGTGTTATTGATGTATGGCTCTGTGTTACAGATGTATAGTTCTATATTACAGATGTATGGCTCCTAGTTACAGATGTATGGTTCTATGTTACAGATGTATGGCTCTATGTTATTGATGTATGGCTCTATGTTATTGATGTACGGTTCTCACTTTCTGAAATCAGCTTGAATTGTCTTTTTCTAAGCCATCTCGTAAGACTGTATAAGTGGTCTGTTTAAGAGGCGTCATCTATCCTCTTGTGAGTTTGTGCAAGTCTGTTCAAGAAGGCGTCACCTATCCTCTTGTGAGTTTGTGCAGGTCTGTTTGAGAAGGCGTCATCATTCCTCTTGTGAGTTTGTGCACGTCTGTTTAAGAAGGCGTCATCTATCCTCTTGTGAGTTTGTGCACGTCTGTTTGAGAAGGCGTCATCTATCCTCTTGTGAGTTTGTGCACGTCTGTTTGAGAAGGCGTCATCTATCCTCTTGTGAGTTTGTGCACGTCTGTTTGAGAAGGCGTCGTCTATCCTCTTGTGAGTTTGTGCACGTCTGTTTGAGAAGGCGTCATCTATCCTCTTGTGAGTTTGTGCAGGTCTGTTTGAGAAGGCGTCGTCTATCCTCTTGTGAGTTTGTGCAGGTCTGTATAAGAGGCGTCGTCTATCCTCTTGTGAGTTTGTGCAGGTCTGTTTGAGAAGGCGCCATCTATCCTCTTGTGAGTTTGTGCACGTCTGTTTGAGAAGGCGTCATCTATCCTCTTGTGAGTTTGTGCAGGTCTGTTTGAGAAGGCGTCATCTATCCTCTTGGGAGTTTGTGCACGTCTGTTTGAGAAGGCGTCATCTATCCTCTTGTGACCTAGTGCACGTCTGTTTGAGAAGGCGTCATCTATCCTCTTGTTAGTTTGTGCAGGTCTGTTTGAGAAGGCGTCATCATTCCTCTTGTGAGTTTGTGCACGTCTGTTTAAGAAGGCGTCATCTCTCCTCTTGTGAGTTTGTGCACGTCTGTTTGAGAAGGCGTCATCTATCCTCTTGTGAGTTTGTGCAGGTCTGTTTGAGAAGGCGTCATCTATCCTCTTGTGAGTTTGTGCACGTCTGTTTGAGAAGGCGTCATCTATCCTCTTGTGAGTTTGTGCACGTCTGTTTGAGAAGGCGTCATCTATCCTCTTGTGAGTTTGTGCAGGTCTGTTTGAGAAGGAGTCATCTATCCTCTTGTGAGTTTGTGCAGGTCTGTTTGAGAAGGCGTCATCTATCCTCTTGTGAGTTTGTGCACGTCTGTTTGAGAAGGCGTCATCTATCCTCTTGTGAGTTTGTGCACGTCTGTTTGAGAAGGCGTCATCTATCCTCTTGTGAGTTTGTGCACGTCTGTTTAAGAAGGCGTCATCTATCCTCTTGTGAGTTTGTGCACGTCTGTTTGAGAAGGCGTCATCTATCCTCTTGTGAGTTTGTGCAGGTCTGTTTGAGAAGGCGCCATCTATCCTCTTGTGAGTTATTGCAGGTCTGTTTGAGAAGGCGTCATCTATCCTCTTGTGAGTTTGTGCACGCCTGTTTAAGAAAGCGTCATCTATCCTCTTGTGACCTAGTGCACGTCTGTTTGAGAAGGCGCCACATAATATCTTGTGGGTTTGTGAATATCTGTTTGTGAAGGTACCCCTTACCATTTTCTAGACATTGAAGAACTCATCCGGGGACAGCAAGAATTCCATGGAGGAGAGCGACCTCGACCTGGGGGGCTCCGAGCAGTTCCATGGCAACCGCAGCGAGTCCAGTCTGGTCTGCAAACGGGACAGTTGGATCTGGTTTTCGCCGGACATGCGGCCCAGCGTCGAGGATTTCGCTGCCAGACAGAGAAAGTTCAGAAGCCGGGATCCCAGAGTGGCCGAGCTGGCCTTTGAGATCAGGTAAGTGTTTATACAGACCAACCCTTTTTCCATGCCTTTAAATGGGGCATATAGGGCTCGACCTATATTGTATACACCAATTGGCACTTGTGGTTGATGTGCTGAATATCACGTAGGTCCACTTTACTTTCCAGAACTTTACCTTGTACCCATTTGAGACTCGGTCGACATGGAAGCTAAGGTAATTTTTAAAACAAAAGTCCGGCAATGCTCGGATATGACCCAACGACATTTGGATCTGCAGGCAAGCGTCTAGCCAATACACCACGACAGCTCCTTAAAAAAGGCATGGTTATATTGTACTGAAATCACCCTTACACACACAAAGGTTATGTGCGTGTTAAAACTGAAAAGAAAGTAATGGATTTGGGGAAAGTGAAATATTTTGGTCAAAGAAGTAAAAGGCAACACTCGTCAAAAGCCGAACTAGAAGGAAACGATGTACACGGGCGAAAAAGAAGGGAGAGCACAAAAAACAGCTAGAAGAACCTCTGTCGGAGGGAGTGTGCGACTAAGGCCAGCGATCGAGTCTTAAATACCTAACTTCTCTGATGAGTTTGTATCTGTCAGAAGGGCCGCTCTCTTCTTCTGCCTTTCTTACCCTCAATGGAGCATAGGCTCTCAAACAACTCACGTCCAGTATTACAGATATCTACCCTGGTGTGCAATGGATACTAGTGCCTAAAGCGAGCAATCTCACCTTCTCCTGTGTCGTCACGCTTCACAAAAGTTGTCGGGAGCAGAATCCAATTGCTGTCAACGCGAAGGTCTGCGCGCCTAATCAGTGACAAGTCAGATGAGACAGATGTGCTGATCTTCACAGACGGGTCCGTAATATGAGGAGACAAGGGTACATTGGGCATTTACATCTCGCTCTTCAGGCAGAGCAGTTCAAGTAGCCAGTGGTACCTTCTCTATGACTACCAGAGCATGACGATGGAGGTGACACCAGCTTTTAAATGACTAGAATCACAGGAGCATTCCCGCGTGTGTGTGCTGAAGGATTCTTTGAGGATGATCTGACGGGTCGAGGCAGGCTTGTTACGCAGACAGTGGACTGAGTCATTGCAAAACTCTCTTGTGTGTGCAGTAACCTTCATATTTGTCCCAGGGATGCGGCTGTTCTTGACAATGAAAGATCTGACAGACTGGCAGATTCCGCATTGATCACAGATGGCCGTTCCATGGATCACGTAGACATCGTCCGTGACCTTAGAGAGGTGCCGAAGATTTTTTTTAGGCAACGCGTCTACAGCACTGCTCATAAAACGAGAATTGAGAGTAAAGATCGGCACAGCCAAACATGAGAAGCACAGCAGGGACACACCATATCTTGTCAACCAGCACAGGACTGGACCTATTAATTGCGCGATGCTGATGAATATGCTGAAGGGGGATTCTAAAGAACTATCGGTGTGACCGGAGTGCTGTGATGGAAATCCAACTCACAAATCTGAACTCACACAACTCACTCCAAGACACTCTGTCCTTTGCTATCGCATGCAGCTCTCCCCATGTCCGACATCCTTTTAATGTCACTCTCAAGACCCCTGCCCCATGTGTAGAGGACGACTATCATTCTATTTTTTTCACAGCATTTGTTTTAAAATGCCAGTACGTTTTTTTTTTTCATCTTCTTCAGCTTGCCTGTTTATTGATTATGACTCAATTGCATAAAACAACATATATTTATAAAACACTTTAACATTCCTTTTTTTCGCACTGCAGTTTACATCTTTTTATAATGTTTAAGTTCATTAGGTGTGCCTTTGACAATCCCTCCCCACTCCACTCTTGGCAGGCGTGCCGTATGTTGTCAAAGACGGCCTAGTCTTATCATCACCAGGCCCAGACTTGTAGATACAAGTTAGTTGAATGTCCTTTAAAGGACGTTGCACGACCAACCCGACCATCCTCCCACCCCCTTTATTTTTGGGTGTGATTTCGCTAGGCAATTTTACGTTTAATTGATTGCCGCTGCTCTCTAAACGGGTGTTCGATGTACCACTGTTAAAACAAACGCAAGGCGGTGTGCTGTCAAATCGCTCACAGCTTGAATCGATCCGGGCGCGCTGGCAGCGCTTAGACCACAGACGGCGGCGACTTGTACACACACATCTAACATCTGGCCCAGTGACATCTTTAGATTATCTTGGATGTAACGTCCCACCTGTCGCCTCTGGGTGGTGGTTCAGGCGGATGGGGCTCAGTGGATGCCGTCTTTATACCTTGTTCACTGGGGGTGCCACCCTCAGATCTTGTTCACTGGGGCGGGGCCTCCTTAGACCATGTTCACTGTGGGTACCGCCCTTAGACTTATTCACTATGGGTACCGCCCTTAGACTTGTTCATAAGAGGTGCCGCTTTAAGATCTTGTTCACTGGGGGGGGGGGGGGGTGCCGCCCTTAGACCTTGTTCACTGTGGGTACCGCCCTTAGACCTTGTTCAATGAAGGGGGGGGGCGCCCTAAGACCTTTTTCACTGGGGTGCCGCCCTTAGACCTTGTTCACCGCGCGTACCGCACTCAGATCTTGCTCATTATGGGTGATATGTAACCGATGATATCCGTGTCTGGGTTATTCCACCCTACCTGCTCCCTGGACTGTACTAGCGTGACAACGGGTGAATCTCTGTTTCATTACAGTAGACAAGAAGAGATGAACAGAGACATAGAACGCGCCGCCGAGTCTCTCATTGACAGCTCTTCTCCGTCCACTTGCAAACTCCACGACGCAAGGGTGCTCTGTGGACATGTCTCCCAGAAGAGTCTGTGTGGCGCCATGAAAACCCGAGCCAGCAGGAAGTCCAGGGTCACGCCGTATGCACTTCCTGAGGTCAACAAGCTGCCCGTTTCTTCCGTGTCCAATCTAGCCAGCGGTGATCATGCAGCACCTGATAGCAATGAATATAACGACGGAGTTTCTGCCGGGAAAGCTGTGTCCTCTGACCTTGTGAAAATACTGCCAACAAAAACGACGCCTGATAAACAAGCAGAGAAAGTCAAAGATTCTAGGACGCCGACCCCAAAACGCAGAAAAGCGCGCCAGAAAATGACAAACCAGCAGACGAGAAGTCAAAGCCAGAGCGTCGTTTGTGCAGAAAAGCGCAGTACGCCACCAGTTCGCTCGGAACATCCTAAACACGAGGCGAACCCGAGTCCCCCCGAGGGAGGCTCGGTGCCACACCCTGTTAACTGGTACAACTCACCTGCAGCGAGTGTAATCAGGAGGATGTATACACCCAGCAGGTACTCCCCTCTCTACGACAACACTACCCTAGTCTGCAGCACCCAGTGCTCTCTCTGCTCCCTGGTGTCCAGTTCATTGGAGCACACAAAAGCCAACCCCGAAAACAATCGGGCTACTAAAACTGAGCTCACGGATGAAGACAATCAGCGGCAAAGTCGCCTTTTACACAACGGTCAACACAGCTCGCCAGTTGAAATCAAACATTCCCCAGGAGAGATAAATCTGCTTTCAGCGAAATATACCAGTACGGACAAGCTCACGTCTCCAAAACGACGGAAATATAAAGAGCTGTCTGAAAGCTCGCTTATGTCGAAGGAGGAAGCCGAAAGCTGCCCAGAATCCCCGTGTAACCTACTAGAAAGTTACAGGAACCGACTGTCACCCAGGTGGAGATCATCGAGAAGCTCTCCAAGGAAAAGACGATTTTCAGATCGAGTAGTGACCTGTTCAAGCCGCCTGACCCCGGAAAGTCGGATGGAGAGCTACAAGTGTGCAAGGAGGAGCCCTCAGCTGACATTCTCAACTGGAGAGTCAGAGTCGGATTCTGTCTACAGGGATAAGTCAGTAGGTCCTGATGCCAGCTACAGGCAGTGTATGATCAGCAAGGAGGTGAACACGACCGTCCAGAGGCTTCTCTTCGACACAGAGAAGAGCTCCTCATCACATAGCCCGTCTAGCAGGTCTAGAGTTCCGTTTCCAGACGTGAACACAGATGACGATTGTAACAAAGGGCCGAAATGTGACACCACAAACATAATAAACGTATCACATGTGAGGGAGAGCTGTACGCAGATTAACATCTCCAGGAATTCTCCGCCAAATGTTCTTGAAACCGGCGGAAGCAAACAGGATTCTGGGAGTGAGAAGCACAGTTCCTGTTTACACGAAGATCAGTTAATGGAGGTCATGAACCCGCCGACATCTTTCATTACTTCCGCTTCTCAGACATGCTGCGCGTGTCACAAAACAACTCAAAAATTTACAAATATTTACGCCCGAGATTACTATCTCGGCAAAAAGGTGACACTAAAGAAGCAACGAGAAGCCAGGGCCAGCGTCCATTCTTCCAAATGGAAGAAGTTAGATATAGCATGGTGCGCCAACACACCGTGTGCTTTACGGTCATCACAAAACAAATCTAGGCTATCCTCATCCAAGCGTGACTGCAGTTTTACACGAGAATCACTGAGGCATAAGCCAGGTATGAAAATGCTGACGTATGCCTCTCGGCATTCTCAAAGATTTCACACTTCGGTTGGCTGCCAAGTCACGCAGACAGTTTCGGCAACATCAGCGCACAGTTTATTTAGGGACAGTTTGGCATTTGGGGCAAACAATGACCAGGAAATGAATCGAAGTGCCTGGAAACTTTCCCCAATGAGCAACAGTTGTACGCTACAGGCCCAGAGCTCCGTCAAGTGCAAGAAACCAAAAGTCGGCTTCTATGAAACATGCGATAAGAAGACAGCTATAATAAATTTACCGTCTCCTTATAATTCTTGGTTACCAGAAAGCTCCATTGTTTCCCCTAGCAAAAAGCCTCACGTCCAACCACGCTCTACTGGCTCTGCACATCGCTGTAAGAAAGAAGACCCCGTCCAGACCGATACGTGCACGCTTCTAGCGACAGTTTCCAAGAACAACTCTTCCAGCAATGTGTCCTACCCCATCGACAAGTCAATCCCAACAGACAAGCCAGGTCTCTTCTCAAAGACTGCCCAATTTTATTTTGTAAGGGGAACAAAACTGAGTCCTAATAATAGCCGCAACGAAAGAGCCAGCTCAGGCAATGCTAAACTTACCGCAGACCTTCATATTGATAGGTTTCAGAATTCTCGGATACCTGGTCCACAGTGGAAGTCAAGCGTATCTCTAGAACCTAATACTTCAGAGATAATCTCTGAAATAAAGATTACCAATAAACACGAATCTAAAGACAATGCACCCGCAGCACGTACAACAAATCCGGTTATTCCAGCGTGTTTCGCTTTTTCTGGTCTAGGAAAGTACCAGACCCGAGTGACAACTGAAAGATCCAGCGGTTGTAGTCAGCAAGACGTACACGATTTTGACAAACAACAAATGCACCCTGTTGTGAGCTCTAACGCCAAATCTCAAGAGGTCACGGATGATGGGATGCATTATTCTGACCAGAACCCGACTGGATCATCCATCCTGCCACATCCCTTTACGAGCAAGGGAGACAATCCACGTGAAGGTAGAGTTATGGCCCGAGAAGATGGCCGAGCATCAACATCTGAATTGCTGAAACATTTTGATGCTGACACCGCTGACGTCGACCAGTGCAGCTCGACAACCCCCATTCTAGCATCGGCTGTTAAGCAGTGTTCGAATCCCGACTCCGGCTACGACGAGTCGCTGTCAGAAAAAGCTAACGGCGACGGCAGCTTTCAGACGTCTGTTAGCACTGCTGTAGAATCCTATAGACCTGGCTTCAGTCCACAGTGGTTCAGACAGCATATGTGTAACTTGGAGTATCAAGATACCAAATCTTGGTCCGTATCTCCCGTGTCTGAGGCATCTCCGAGCTCAGATCACGCTCACAGAAGCCATATGTCTAACGATTGCGACTCTGAGCAGGATACCTTGCCGTCCCTCTCTGACGATACATTTCAGACTGCCGGCAACTGTGATCCATTCATCCACCAACTTCCAGACAATTTTAGATGTGACCACAATGCTCAACCATTCTCGTTTATTAAGGATATCGCAAGGCAGGGTATTTATCAGCATTCGTCACCTACCACACTAACGGAAGCACATAGCGGGAACGTTTTTACACAAGATCTAACGCCAATTCCTGGAAAAAACAAAGCACATCATGATGTGACATGGCCTCATAACCTTCAGCACACAGTCGGTGATACAGGAAGCAAAAGACAGTCATCAACTGACAGCAACCGGTTCTATCCCAATGAATCAAATTTGACCGTCGGATCCGAAATGGTTAGTAGCCACACGGAAATGATTCCTATGTCACCAGCATCTGTTGGATCTAAACAAGCTAACCACTCTCAAGAGATGACCCATGTTCTGAAGATGTCACCGGAAGATACATCTCACAACGCTGATCTTAGCAACACCAGCCTTGGCAACATCGGTCTTAGCAACACCGCTCCGGCCCACTTCAGTGCTCAAGTACCTACTATTTTACACTTTCCAGCTAAATCTTCAGAAACATTTATCGTGGACACAGAGCATCTAGAGACAGCCACTCAAGCCAACACGACACCGACAGGGCCACGTAGGACCATACCCACACCGGAGCGACACGGAGCAGAACTTTCCAGAGCTCAAAGCACGTCACCGTCTTATTCAGGGTTACCAAATTCCAGAGTTTCAAATTTGGAACAGTCTGACAAAGGCATCGCTAATGTCTGGTCAACGAAGCCACAGAACGAACAAAGCTGTATTTCAGCTTTACCTACCTTTGAATCGCAAGATTCAAAAGAAACATACGCAACTTCAAGGTTAAGAGCACAGATAACGACAAATACGGTCCTGGATTTGTCCTCTTCAGCAATGTCCAGTCCCGACGAGAACGCCATGGATGTGCCAGGTAATGGAACTGATCTTCCAGACAAAGACAGAGGTTTCACAGGAGACAGTGATGTGAAGACGGTAGTCATCCCTTGTCGTGTACAGGTGTGTGCAGCAGCGACACTTGAAGATGAGCTACCTGAATCTATCATGCTGCCCCCGACATCCTCTGACGAAGAAGATGCGACAGGGGCCGACGGTTGCTCGGACACACTTGCATACACACCCGACAATATAACAAACTTTAGAAGTACAAACGACGACTGGGCAACGGGATGGGCCACAACGACTTGTACAGAAAACACAACACGCGACCCACAATGTTGGCAAACAGACAAAAGAGAGCATATCCTTACGAACGAAGCACAGCAGAACAATAGCAAACAACGATCAGCTAGACGCATTTCAAATCAGGCAAAAAGTAAAGTGTTTATTTCAGACAGAAGTATGGCTTTTTCTGAAATATTAAAACGGTTTTGATGTTAACAATGATTGCCTGATTTGTGGCAGAGTATAATCCCTGGACCGACAAATGGGGACAGTGTCTTGTTAATGTCGAAGGTAGGAATGTCTGCCTTACGCCAAACATTGAAATGTCTGCTTTATGCCAAGTGCTGATATGTCTGCTTTTAACAGAACTATAAATGTCTGCTATATGTCAAACGTAGAAATGTCTTTTTAGATATACAGAAATGACTCGTTTATGAACAACTTAAAAATGATTTGTGTCAAATATATAAATGTATGATTTATATATACATATCAGAATGAAAACGAGTTAACAATGTAACAATCTTCATTTGATGGTAACCGCGACGTTGATGATGAACATGAAAACAGTTTGATCTGTAGCTAGGTGTTCAAACCGTTTGCCTGGCTCTCTGAAGATCGCGGGTTCGTTTCGCGACTGCGCCGTCAAGTTCACGAGAGCAGTTTTCACACTGGAGCTACAGAGTTCGTGTTTTAGGCGACGCTCTCGGCAGGCGGTCAGCTTTCTGCGGAGAGTGACCGAATCATTAGGATTTTAAAAAAAACCTTCGCAATAAAGTAGATTCTCCGGACTTTTAACAATTTACAGTTTGTGACTGTTGACAGTTTTTACCTATAAATATATCTGTTGTGTTTATTTGTGACAGGAATTCTGATACAGTAAAACGTGTACGTTAATCATGATGGAAATATTTATATATTTATTTTTATGTTCATTTAAAAAAAATGCAAACACAAACACTCCCTATTCCTTACAGATATCCAATATATTTTGTATTTGTCTATTCTCACGTACTTGTTATACATATAATAAAACTATATGTACTTTTCTCCCAAATTCACTTTATCTGTTGTGTTTACATGTAAGGAGATTTCTAAATCTGACTGTCAACTGTTTGTGAGAGGTCACATCTCAGCTTCCTTGCCGCTCAGAACACTTTATTACAAAAAGGCCTAGAGTTGGTTTCTCGTCCCTTCTCGTCCCTTCTCGTCTTTCCAGACGACAGTGTTATTTGTGCTCTAGGAGGGCACGGGAATCAAAGCCCATGGAGATGGTTAGTGCCACACACAAGACCCGCTCGCTCTCTTCATAGCACAACGCCCGGGCAGTATTGTACAGACGACGTGTTGCAATGCAGCATCAAGAAGGCAAAGGGCCTGACTTGCTATAAAATTACGTTTTCTGTTTGCATTTATGTCTTCTTTCTAGAAAGAGGCGAATATCCTCGCCAATAGGTTCCTAATGTGGGATTTCAGGGTCGGTATACGCCACATCTTTAATATGCCCAAGCCAGATAATAGTATGACTATAACGTCCATGCACTCGAAACTCCATCGTTAAAAGCAAAAACAAAAAAGCAACACAAAATACACAAAAGGAGAACTAAGCTAAAGAGAGGGGTGACGAGTAGTGAAATAATGGGTACAAAATAAACCAACCAGGGAATGAATCAGTCGGTCAGTCACATAACAATGCATCACACAACAATCCACCCATCAGTCAATTATTAATAAACCAGCTGGATAAAATGCTAAGTTTAAGATGCCCTACAACCCTTGACAACCAGGCAACATTACCTGATACATGCAGTCCAGTTTTCAAGATCATTCGAAGAAGCACACATCAATCGATCACTCAGTCACAAAGTCAGATATTACTCCAACGCATATATACGTCCTCGGTCACGAACATCTTTTAAAGAACAAATCCATGGTCCAGTTATCGAACATCATTTGAAAAGGAACACATCCCCAGGTGAGTTATAAAACATCATTTGAAGAAGAACACATCTCGGTCCAGTTAGAAAACATCATTTGACAAAAAATACACCCACAGTCAAGTTATACAACATCATGTGAAGAAGAACCCATCCATGGTCCAGTCAGAGAGCATCATTTGAAGAACACATCCCCGGTACTGTTTTATAGAAAATGATTTGAAAATAACACACCCATGACCGACTTAGATAACATCACTTGAAGAAGAATATATTCCATGTCTAGTTTGAGGACATCATTTAAAGAAGAACACAACCATATTCCAGTTAGAGAACATCATTTAAAAAAGAACCCAACCATAGTCCAGTTAGAGATCATCATTTAAAGAAGAACCCAACTATAGTCCAGTTAGAGAACATCGTTTAAAGAAGAACCCAACCATAGTCCAGTTAGAGAACATCGTTTAAAGAAGAACCCAACTATAGTCCAGTTAGAGAACATCGTTTAAAGAAGAACCCAACCATAGTCCAGTTAGAGATCATCATTTAAAGAAGAACCCAACTATAGTCCAGTTAGAGAACATCGTTTAAAGAAGAACCCAACCATAGTCCAGTTAGAGAACATCATTTAAAGAAGAACCCAACCATAGTCCAGTTAGAGAACATCATTTAAAGAAGAACCCAACCATAGTCCAGTTAGAGAACATCGTTTAAAGAAGAACCCAACCATAGTCCAGTTAGAGAACATCGTTTAAAGAAGAACCCAACCATAGTCCAGTTAGAGAACATCATTTAAAGAAGAACCCAACCATAGTCCAGTTAGAGAACATCATTTAAAGAAGAACCCAACTATAGTCCATTTAGAGAACATCATTTAAAGAAGAACCCAACCATAGTCCAGTTAGAGAACATCATTTAAAGAAGAACCCAACCATAGTCCAGTTAGAGAACATCATTTAAAGAAGAACCCAACCATAGTCCAGTTAGAGAACATCGTTTAAAGAAGAACCCAACCATAGTCCAGTTAGAGAACATCATTTAAAGAAGAACCCAACCATAGTCCAGTTAGAGATCATCATTTAAAGAAGAACCCAACCATAGTCCAGTTAGAGAACATCATTTAAAGAAGAACCCAACCATAGTCCAGTTAGAGAACATCATTTAAAGAAGAACCCAACCATAGTCCAGTTAGAGAACATCGTTTAAAGAAGAATCCAACCATAGTCCAGTTAGAGAACATCATTTAAAGAAGAACCCAACCATAGTCCAGTTAGAGATCATCATTTAAAGAAGAACCCAACCATAGTCCAGTTAGAGATCATCATTTAAAGAAGAACCCAACCATAGTCCAGTTAGAGAACATCGTTTAAAGAAGAACCCAACCATAGTCCAGTTAGAGAACATCGTTTAAAGAAGAACCCAACTATAGTCCAGTTAGAGAACATCGTTTAAAGAAGAACCCAACCATAGTCCAGTTAGAGATCATCGTTTAAAGAAGAACCCAACTATAGTCCAGTTAGAGAACATCATTTAAAGAAGAACCCAACCATAGTCCAGTTAAAGAACATCGTTTAAAGAAGAACCCAACCATAGTCCAGTTAGAGAACATCATTTAAAGAAGAACCCAACCATAGTCCAGTTAGAGATCATCATTTAAAGAAGAACCCAACCATAGTCCAGTTAGAGATCATCATTTAAAGAAGAACCCAACCATAGTCCAGTTAGAGAACATCGTTTAAAGAAGAACCCAACCATAGTCCAGTTAGAGAACATCATTTAAAGAAGAACCCAACCATAGCCCAGTTAGAGAACATCGTTTAAAGAAAAACCCAACCATAGTCCAGTTAGAGAACATCATTTAAAGAAGAACCCAACCATAGTCCAGTTAGAGAACATCATTTAAAGAAGAACCCAACCATAGTCCAGTTAGAGAACATCATTTAAAGAAGAACCCAACCATAGTCCAGTAGACAACATCATTTGAAGAAGAACACATCCACTGTCAAGTTACCGAACATCATTTAAAGAAGAACCCAACCATAGTCCAGTTAGATAACATCATTTGAAAAAAAAGAAACACATCTAAAGTCCACTTAGAGAACATCCTTTGAAGAAGAACACATCCAAGGTCCACTTAGAGAACATCATTTGAAAAAGAACACATCGCCAGCCCAGTTAGAGAACCTGACATCCCACAAGTGGTAGACATTGTCTATCAGCACGCTGGACGTGTAGTTGTAATGGTGCATGAAGTTTCCAATCCAGTTGGCTATTTCCGGCCGTTTCCTGCCCCATTTGACCTGCACAACCCTGACACTGATCCTTGTGAAAAACTCCTGCCCACAAACCAGAACATGGTGCTCTGTGTTGGCCAAATCTATCTTCAAGAAGACGTTTGGGAAGGACACGAGGGGCATCAGGTCATCCAGACACACAGACTGGACTGTATCTGTTCCTTTAGAGTTTTCTACAATGTACGATCGGGCACTGTTGTTTCTGTGGAGAGTCGATAAACTTATTACTACATGAATATACAATTCAAAGGTAATGGTTTACCGAATCGATTATCAACTTACTGAAGTCAGTCAGAGGCAAATCTAGAAAAAAGAAAGGAAAATTAGAGCTACGGATTTTGTAAAAACTTGGAGAGGACATAGGAGAGAGCAAAAATAGGATCAAATAAAACAGTTCGGAAAAAGTAGCATGAGATAGCAGATGGTAGGATGGCCTGAAGTTAGCTAACTGAAGATCTATGCTCAGTCGGAGATTTATATGGGAAGAAGCAGAAAGATGTTCTATTTTTATGAATATAAAATGCCAACAAATGTTTTCAGTTTGTATTCCTTAGAGAAACATTCAACACAGTGTGGTACATGGTAGGAAATTATGTCTCTCCAGGGTTAGTTAACTGCGTATTCTTCACAGTACATTGCAGAACCAACACCAGCACTTTTTGGCTGTTGTGGTTTTTCTAGGCAATTTTACGTCCAATTGTTTGCCATTGCTCCTGGACTGTCGGCTTCTCGATACCGCTGTCAAAACCAGCGCAACGCACCAGGCCCGCAGCTTGGATCGAACCCGGCACCTCGGCGATACGAAGCTCGTTCGCAACGCCTAAGCCACAGACGCTGACATGCGTCTTCAGGGTACAAGGTAGGCAATTCTGTATCTCCAGGGTACAAGGTAGGCAATAATGTATCTCCTGGGTACAAGGTAGGCAATTCTGTATCTCCAGGGTACAAGGTAGGCAATTCTGTATCTCCAGGGTACAAGGTAGGCAAATGCGTCTCTCCAGCGTCGGCGACTTCTGATATACCTGCACTAGCCAGTTTAAGATAATCAGGCACTAAGTATTGGAGAGAACCGGCAGAAAGTCCTTGCATGTCCCATGAGCACTTTACTGCGACATCTCGGGACTATTGCTGCTGCTTCTGCTGCTACTACTGCTTCTGCTGCGGCCGCGGCTGCTACCACTACCACCAGCACTACGAGCACATATACTACTGCTACTACACCTGCCAGCACCACCACTATGACTACAGCTGCAGCTATCATCACAACAACTAAGACTACTGCTGCCATCATCATTGCCGCCGCGACCGCCACAACAATCAGCACCACAAAAGCCACTACTTCGGCTATCATCACCACAACTACTACCATCACGAGGGGCATGCGGTAGCAGTAGTAATAGCAGCAGCAACATAAGACACACACACACACACACACACACACACACACACAAAAGAGAAAAAAGCTAAAGGTGGAGGAGGAAAAAGAATAAATGTAAAAAAAAAAAAAAATGAGAACATTACATGTATAGGGCAGAAATAATAAACATTTATAAAGTTAGAGCAAGACTCGACAATATTGAACAATCTGCTGACCAACTAAACTTAAATACAGTAGAACACACACCACGGTCACTGACTGGTATAAAAGATAGAGGCTGAGTTTTAGGTGAGACTGCCAGGTGAAGTGTTGTAACTTTCACATACATTAGGTTACCACGTAGGAGGTATGAGGGTCAATTCCCACAGCTGTTGCATTTCCTGCCTTGAGAATTCATAGAACATTCTGACACCTGACCAGTGTTCTGATGATAATCTTCCCTTTCTCCGTAAAGCTAGGTCTAGGATAATAGGAGTAGAAGGGTGGGACCATTGATAGTGAACAGAAACTCTAAAATAAAACTAACGATGCAGATAGTTTTTTTTTTTTCTTTTTACACAACTAATGTTGGCTGTTGAATTAAGAATCGACAACAAGCACTCCGGAAACCCTTATAAGCGCTTCGTTCGCATATTCAGCAACAAGCGAAGAGTTCTAATTCCAGTGACATCAGTAACTTCTGACCGTATATCCGTCTCACCTTGTGTTGAGCACCGGCCAGATCCCATTGTAACTCCTCACAGCACTATTCTCCCCAGACCGTTATTATCTATCTGTGCCTCCGCACTGTTTAATCGGCCAGTCTATCTGCATGCTCATTTCCTACAACACAGACGTAACCTAGAGAGGTGCCGGTACTCATTACAAAGTATCTGCTACAGCAGCACTGTAAACATGATGTCTAAACAGGTGCCAATTCCGCGTACTGCCAGACAAAAGCCCTGTATACAGAGCAGATATGACCAACGACTGCTTGTTCGCCATGTACCCCACTGTCGTTTGGCAGCCTATTCCCTGTCATGTTTTGTATCTGCTCTAGTTAAATAAAAGCTAACGAAACAAAACAAAACAACTCACACATAAGTTTGATAGCTGAGCTGTGAATCGTGATCTTTATACACTGCATTCTTGACAAGGACAACCTGTAGAAAGAAAGTTTGTCACGTAGCTGCATTTGAAACTTTAACTTGATATTTTCTTTCGCGTTATTCAACCAAACGAGCACTGCAATAGGAAATAGAGAGACTGAAAAAAAAAGGGGGGGGGGGGGGAGATGTCTGAGAGAAATCCTGGAAGCGCCCATTGCTGAGAAAAGCAAAGATCCTGGATCGATTTCATCCATTATCTTGAACTGATTGCACATGATAAAACGGAATGGAGAAAATAAGAGATTGCAAGCCTTATGTGATATATATATATATATATAAGAACAATGAATGATTTAATTAATATTAAAATTTAAAAAATAACACTGCTTACTACCCCACTACAGCAATTATGCAAACGAGGGTACTGCGTAGATCGGAACTAATACTACTGCTGCTCCTTCCCCTGCTGCTGCTCCTCCCCCTGCTGCTGCTCCTCCCCTTGTTGCTACTCCTCCCCCTGCTGCTCCCCCCTGCTGCTGTTCCTCCCCCTGCTGCGGTTCCTTCCTCTGCTGCTGCTCCTCCCCCTGCTGCTGCTCACCCCCCTGCTGCGACTGCTACTACTCTCATCCTTGGAAGGGCGGCTGGCATGTTGTGTTGTAGTCAACAGCTAGGCTGTGATATCTGATTTTAGCAAACATTTAATTAGTTGCTATTTTAAGAGGCAGTGAACCTATACCTGCCCACCACTCTCACTGGGACTCGGGAAGCCAGTTTGAGGGATTATAAAACATCTACATAGCTGACCCAGAGCCACAGAAGACTAAGAGCGGTGGATTGATAAAAGTATGACGTCTACAATATCTGAAGATGTACGTGAGAATGTTAATATTGAAGATTATGAGGGAAACCTAGCCACCTGTACTTACCTGTGAGGACAGGTTACTCTGCTGCAACGAATGCTGCAGGTGAAGGATGTTGGAGTCCTGCATGTCCACAGCCAGAACACGCTCACCGCAAGCTGCAGCCATCAGAGTGTACACCCCGAGGTTGGCCCCGATATCTACCAGACCCATGCCTGGATAAGACTAGAGCCCAAAGAAACAATGCATTTAGTTACCATTTCTTTGTAGGATAAAACATGTTTACATCTAGACAGGTTAGCAACGTATAAGAAATGAGAATATGTGTTCCAGTGGCTTACCTCGCGGGTTCGCTTCCCCCACTGCGTCATTCTGAGTACGAGTGTACTGTTTACCAAGGTATCTTGGGATCGTTGCTGGAAGTCCGTGCTTCGATCAACCCTCTCGGCAGCGACCAGCCGTTCTAGCCGTGGTGCCGGTAATATGACCGCCCACAGCCTTCTGTCTCATCTACTGTCAGTCATTTCTGATTCAGGTTTGCTTGTTTTCCATGCGCATGATGCCAGACTGTCCTTTCTGTTCGTCTCTCTGCGTCTTTCTTCCACTCCACCTTTCATACTGACAAGTCAGGGTTAAACTACGAGAACTTGTGTGTCAAAAACAGCATTATTCGAATCCGATTTTGCGCAATGGTTATCTCCCCTCTCCCCTTTAGATTAAAAAAAGGGGTGGGGGGGGGGGGGGGAGAAGCTGAGTGGTCTCGGGGGGGGGGGGGGGATGGGTGGTCTCGGGGGGGGGGGGGGGCTGAGTGGTCTCGGGGGGGGGGGGGGGCTGAGTGGTCTTCGGGCATGGCGTCCGCCTCGAGTGCTAAAGGTCTCGGGTTTAGGCCCCAGTGATTTTTTTTTCAAGTGGACTTCTAGTAATTTTCCCTCGTCTATGAGTAGTAAGATCGGACGCCCGTTTTTATTGCTGCGCACGTAAAGCATCACTTGGCAGTTGAAAATCGAGCAGAGTAGCCTAACGGCGCTGCCCGGAAAACAAATATGAAGTTAAACATCTAGCCAAATTTTTTCAAGATCCTCGCCTGTACTACGGAGTTGGTGCGCCTAGTTGAGATTTTTTTCAGACTCAGAATGAGTTAGAGTAGAACGAAGCACTTACGGGGTACTACTCTTTTGCCATGATATTGATCCGTTGCTTAAACCTAAACCTAAAACCTCCCTGCCTCTAGGTTCGGTTGTGATAGATTCGAACTCACACAAAGACGGGCTGTTTGATCCAGCCTAATATATACCAGAAAAAGCCATGTGAAGTAAAAGCAGCAGGCAGGATACTCACCACAACACTAAGTACAGTCGATTGGTCCACACACATTTTGAAAACATAAACACCACAGGACCGACACGACCAAATTTTACTTCAACCGAAAGAAAGTCAGAACAGAATCAGAACATCAAGCGAAACAAGAGGCATTGATGGGAACTCATAGAATTAGAGTAATGGTACACAATAGCATTCAATGAGACACAAATAGCCAGGCACTCACCTTCAACAATGACTGCATGTTCTCCACATAGACATGTTCCCACAATTCCCCCGCCTGTCGACCAAAGATGAAAATTAATTCTGTTCTGCTTTTTGTCACAAAGTTAAAGTTGTGGTGGTGGTTGTGGTGGTGGTGATGGTGGTGGTTGTGGTGGTGGTTGGATGGAAGAGGGTACAGTGGCCAGCCATGTTGCAAAATCTCTAGGGTCTGTCTTATTTACTGCCGATGGCGATGGTTGTGTTAAATCGCAAGGGAATACGTCGGAAATGATTACAAAAGAAAGGGAAGTTGTTTTGGCTCTTCTTTTCCTTGATGTTTATTTTGTTTAATAATAACATCGAACAACAGAAAGATAAAAAGAAAGAATGAAGAATGAAGGAAAAAAAAACGGAATGATAAAAGTAGAAAGCAAAGAAAGATGAAGACCAACAACAAACCACCAGCGTAGGCTAAACCAAGCAGTGTGATATAGTTCACGTGTTGCTGCAAGATTTCTTTTATCTACATTTTGTCCTATCTAACAACAACAACAACAACAACAACAACAACAACAACAAAAGTACAAAGGGAAAAAGAAGGGGAGTAAAAAAAAGGGGGGGGGGGGATGACAAGAAGAAGAAGATGGGATCAAGTAGATAACGAAAGAACCTCTAGCATGCTTAATGGGGATAGCTTATCCCCTTTATACATTGTATAGGGGCTGACCGGGAGCTTCAAGATGGGCGAGTTCCCTGGTTCAGACCCTGTGATTAAGTTGTTTTCAGAGTCGCCTGTGATTAAGTTGTTTTCAGAGTCGCCTCTGATTAAGTTGTTTTCAGAGTCGCCTGTGATTAAGTTGTTTTCAGAGTCGCCTGTGATTAAGTTGTTTTCAGAGTCGCCTGTGATTAAGTTATTTTCAGAGTCGCCTGTGATTAAGTTGTTTTCAGAGTCGCCTGTGATTAAGTTGTTTTCAGAGTCGCCTGTGATTAAGTTGTTTTCAGAGTCGCATGTGATTAAGTTGTTTTCAGAGTCGCCTGTGATTAAGTTGTTTTCAGAGTCGCCTGTGATTAAGTTGTTTTCAGAGTCGCCTGTGATTAAGTTGTTTTCAGAGTCGCCTGTGATTAAGTTGTTTTCAGAGTCGCATGTGATTAAATTGTTTTCAGAGTCGCCTGTGATTAAGGTTTGCGAAAAACAATGAATAAATCAAAGAAGAATTGACATCACTGCATTCGGGACATTCCCACACGTGCTCCATCCCCTCCTTCAGTAAGCAACGAAGAGATGACATGTTACCAGTACTAGTTGCAATCTGATTTGTAGTCCGCCCATGATTCCCCTTCAATCTCTACACTCTCTTCCCTCTGTCCAAATGATCTGATAGAGCCTTCACTATATCCATCCGCTGTATCATAAAGTAGGTCAGAGCCCAGAGGAGTGGTAGCAGTTTATCCATCAGCCTTCTGGTTACCTTGCACACCTAAATCTCACGGACAAAAATGCCATGATGTGCTACTGATCTCAATCTTGTCAAGTGTTGCCAGCCACACTGCACGCAGGACGCTAGTTTCCGAAGCATGATCCGTGAGTCCGTTACACTTACAACATATAGGGCTAGCTACTCTCAAGCCATCAGAAAGCAGCTGTTACTGCCTCCACCTCCATTCCCATACTGGATGTAGGGGCAATGTGCGCGAAGCTCTGTTTTCAAACAGTGGTTTAGGTAAAGTGACCGTAATGGGCCTTCTTGACCTCATTGATGCACCATGAACTTCAACTCACAGCCAACTAGATCCCTCCCACTCTCCTTCCTACTCCCCCCCCCCCCCCGCCTGCCCTGCAAGTTGGCTGAAAGTAGCTGACTAAAAATACCGCACTTATAACTGGTTCTGATGACGTCAGTGACTCAATCTAATAGATTTATATCTGGCTGCAGTATTACACTGATGACGTCAGTGACTCAATCTAATAGATTTATATCTGGCTGCAGTATTACCCTGATTACGTCAGTGACTCAATCTAACAGATTTATATCTGGCTGCAATATTACCCTGATGACGTCAGTGACTCAATCTAACAGATTTATATCTGGCTGCAGTATTACCCTGATGACGTCAGTGACTCCATCTAATAGATTTATATCTGGCTGCAGTATTACCCTGATGACGTCAGTGACTCAATCATAGATTTATATCTGGCTGCAGTATTACCCTGATGACGTCAGTGACTCAATATAATAGATTTATATCTGGCTGCAGTATTACCCTGATGACGTCAGTGACTCAATCTAATAGATTTATATCTGGCTGCAGTATTGCCATGATGACGTCAGTGACTCAATCTAATAGATTTATATCTGGTTCCAGTATTACCCTGATGACGTCAGTGACTCAATCTAATAGATTTACATCTGGCTGCAGCATTACACTGATGACGTCAGTGACTCAATCTAATAGATTTATATCTGGCTGCAGCATTACCCTGATGACGTCAGATTCTCAATCTAATAGATTTACATCTGGTTCCAGTATTACCCTGATGACGTCAGTGATTCAATCTAATAGATTTATATCTGGTTCCAGTATTACCCTGATGGCGTCAGTGATTCAATCTAATAGATTTATATCTGGTTCCAGTATAACCCTGATGGCGTCAGTGATTCAATCTAATAGATTTACATCTGGTTCCAGTATAACCCTGATGGCGTCAGTGATTCAATCTAATAGATTTACATCTGGCTGCAGTATTACCCTGATGGCGCCAGACAGGAGTGGGTCAGTTGCGGGATCTCTGATGCAGATTGTTGTCGGTTGTGGGGATTTAGGCAACGGCAGACAAATCTCTGGGTTCAGTGTGGAACCCACAGGAGGAATTGAAGGTACGAGATTCACACTTGGGTGCAAGCTTAACCGTTGCCCTTGAACTTCAACATTCTGCAACAAATTGGAGTTGACACTTCCTTTGGTTTTGTGCTTTTGAGATCCGTGTTTCTTCTTTGATGGCTTGGACTGTTTTGTTTCGTGTGTCTGTTGTGTTTGAATCTCAGTTTGCTTTTTTTGCTCATCGATGACATTTTCTAGCGACTTCAGTTTCTGCTGCAAAGTTTGTGCCTCCTGCTGTAGGAGGAAGTTCTTGTGGAGCTGGTGGCGAAGATGTTCAAACGCCCACGTCTCCTGCTCGGACAGGAACTTAGCTGACACTTCCCTCCTGTTGAACCTCTTCCGCTGGTTCAGCACCAAGTGTAACTGGTTAAAAGGAAAGGGAAATTATTGTTAACTTGTCCTAAATGTGTATTATTTTCAATAACAACTTTACAAGGACATGAGGGATAATGAAAGAAGAAAGTAAACAATAAAGGTAGGGAGGAAGGAAAGGTGAAGACATCCCCACACCCCATCCCACTTTTATAGAACTAAGTGTAGGCTAAACAAAGGAATGTCCTATCTAAAAATGTATAGAAGAGGGAAGGATGTCAAACAGAAAGAAAGAGAGAAAACAATTATTCGTTCCACACTTTTTCCTTTTCCCAATAATTTATAATTATTCACGTGACTTTCCTGAATGAGTCCTGTCAGCCAGGATACTTTCCCTTTGTGGCCTGTGCGAGAAAGGCTCCGCCCGAATCGTCAATTACTCTTATCTAGTTTGTGTTTACGTAGCCCCCGCTCCCAACCCCCGATTATAAAGCTTTTGGGTCAAAATT